GAACAGAACAAAGGAAATAATACAGCAGCTTCCTTCTTGTGACTATCAGTGGATTGCACTGAAAAATATTACAGGCACTTGGCTATCAGGCATGCTATGCTTTAAAGTTTGATTCTTGAGTGTAGTCTTGAGAAGTTACAAGAATGTGCCAAATAACGATATTTTAAAATGCCTTTTTGATGTTATATAACCCTTCAAATGTCATCTTGAAATCTGAGAGGCATTTTTCTGCATTTGTTGTATATGCTGTTCACACAGTTTTTCCATCAGATTCGTTCACTGATTCGTTCAGTGACCATTTCTTCATATTACATAAATACGCCAGCAGCTGGCGAAAAAAGAGTGTCTTATCTGTTCTGTCTTAAGTCAACGAACATATTCACTTATTACAAAAAACTGATTTGGCTTTATTAAAATGTGTGCATAATCTACTCATTAAATAAATAAAGTCTAAATAAGTTGTTCAGATGACCAAAGCACAAGGTTTTCTTGCATATTTAACATTTTAATTGTTTGGTCAGACATTTAAACATTCATAAATCGGGGATTAAACGTTGAGTTATGTTCTGTATGCTAAATATGAATATTGATCGTGCTCCTCCCGAACCTTGTTAATAAAACATCATATAGTTTCTTGCACCAGCACTGTGCAGGGAAGCCCATACATTACAGTCCAGAGAGAATGTGCTGGTTAAATAAGCAGCTTAATGAACGCGAACAAAACAAGCTGCCTTTGTTAATGGCAGTTCACAAATACTTGTAATACACCTGTAATCACTCTGATTACTTTGGTCAAAAACTGCTCCACTAATGGGATTTTGGGCTTTGGTTATCCACTGTCAATCCTAGCAATTTTGAATGCAGTACACATATGGAATGATAATGGGATGACCTTTGCAGGAATAAATGATAATTTAAAATATATATATATAAAAAAAAAAAAAACTTTAAATTGTAATAATATTTCCAGTATTTCTGTTTTTTTCTGTATTTTTGATCAAATAAATCCTTGGTGAGCAAAAGAGACTTAAAAGCTTTGCATTCATAATGGACTTAAAAAAGGGGAACATTTTTATTTTATTGATGCTAGAAGGACCGTACCTGGATTCCCATTCCCTCTGGCACAGTGATCTTCCATACACAGCTCAGGCTGTTCAGGTAGGGCTCAGGATAGCCAGGGGACAGAATAGTGCCTATCCGCTGGGTAAGATTCCCTCCACATGGCACTGCAGCACACATAAAACGAGAAAACAATGAAAAAGCAGGTAGAGTACACAAATCACACAAACCGCGTACAGTATGGAAGGGTATTTGTAATCTTCCAGGACACCACCTTCCTCCTTGTGCAGCTCCTGTGGTCAAGCATCTGGTAGCTGCAGTGAAGCGCACAGGTAAACAGCTTCACATGAGTGTGGATACCTGCGTGTACAGAGTACCAGCGGCAACATCTGCCACATGTGCAAATTCGTGGATGTGTGACATGCCGGAGGCCATGACTGCTGGCCCACAGCTGTGTGCCGTTGCTTGTTAGGCACAGGGAGACTTTGTTGGCGACAGCTCTCTCTCAAGGGGAACAGGAGTAGGAGTCTGTTTGCTCTGTCTCCACAGGAAAACCACCAGAGCAGTGATGTGTATCTAACACAGTGCTCATCCAAGCAAATGCATTGAGGTTGGGGACGCAAGAAAACATGCAACACTTAAGCAAGTGTAGTAAAATCTACCAATTAAAAAAAATAAAAAAATAAAGTTGTACTATTTCATCAAATTTCGAAGAAAAACTGACGAAGCTATATTGCTCCCATTATATTCAAAGTCGATATTTATTCTAGAAATACCCGTTGAGGAGCCATGTTTCTATTTTTTTATATATAATAATTTACA